GAATCGCGATCCTTCCTTTATAGTGGAAAAATAACCCGGCGCTTTTAATGGGTCAAAGAGAACATTGAAGATCTGACCTAACGAGAAGTATATCTTCGTCGATTTTTCTGATTTTTACGATGATATATTTGAGAAGTCTATGCCACGCACGTCGGGAATTTTTTGTACCCAAAATTGCAATATTTTCTCAGTTTCTAAGTATATTTCAAGTACGAAGTACCCAGGCAATAAATTTATTACTTATCAATAATTTCTATCCAGTGATGTACCGATGCATTCAAAAAGAAGACGGGTTATTGTATACGGGTTTGGTCGCTCGTTATGGTCCGCAATCAGTTGCCAGCGCAAGTGGTTAACGAAGTCTCTTAATCAGAGTTCAATGTTCTTGGTGTGCATTACTATAATGAGAAGCGTGTCGAAAATTCTGAAGAGCAACGAATGAAACACGCGTGGACTTAGCTTTAAAATATATCAAACACCAGAGGATCTTTAGAAACCTAGAATGGTAAACCAAATTACGTTTACAAAGTCATTTGTAGAGAGTCAATGCTACGATCGTTATTATAAATCTATGTATCTTGTCATGTAATTTATTTATAGCGACAAAATTTTCCAAAGAAGAATATTCTCCATGAAAAATTCCCCACGAGGCTCCACGTGTATTCTTCACAGAAGCTACAACCAACTTGTACAATTTATCGTCTGCGCGATGAAAAATTGTCCGCAGAGAATATTCCCCATGAAATTCCACGCGTACTCTTTATAAAAATAATTGTAACTACAAATAACTTCCCGGAAATCGGTTTGCTACCCGCTTGGGAGCCGCGCCCTGCAGGTTGGAAAATCCTGCGGTTCAGTCCTGGTTGCACGGATCCCCGGTCCCGCACGAACGCAAATGTTTTGCGACAAACGAGGTTTACAGTAAAGGAAAAGCCAAAATATGCGCGTATGTGTGTCACAGGAACAAGACGGACGAAGAAACAAGGGCTCGATCATATATTATTATGCTTCCTTCAACTACCTGGACTATCGTTAATCTCCCCAGGCACGACATTGTATCTTCTAACGTAGGTTATTTATATATCCATTGTGGTGTTCCTTCACCGCGATTCCGCCTCAACTTTATGCAACGTTGTTTGGTTATGAGTTTTGCAAGGAGCAACGAGGCGGCTGGCTAACGCTCTTTCGGGCAGAGAGATCCCCTGGTGGCAGGCGCTTCTCCGAGTCCCCCATTGGGGAAATTGAGGTTAACAATGTAGACGAGGAACTGGCTAAAAACGTTGGGTTGAGAAGTTTTCTTACGCGTCGGGAGACTTGCTTCCGCGGATGCCGGCGAATGCGAACGACGTTTGTATAGCAGCGTTCGGTTTCGCGCTGGTGGCACGTAATTAGCGATAAATGTTCGATTGTTCGGCTGTACAGGGGGAGAGGAACGCGGCACGGAGAGGCTCGATATTACAAGAAAGCGAAGTGAAAGCTGCGTATAACGTAATTAACTAGCGATAAGGCAATGAATTCCCTGGTCCTGGCTTTCCTCCGCGCTCTGCACACGCAGCTGTTTGCGTTGTTAGAAGCTAGAAAGTTACGGAACTGACTATACAAGCGCGTCAATTTTGCCACAGTGACGGATGATCGAGAGATCGGGACAGGCTACAGAAAGAAAAAAAAAAGAGAGAAAGAAACGGAATATCACTCTTTCGTACGATAATCATACAATTCGTTCGAAGCAGTCGAGATGTCGAGCAAAAACTACGAAGAAAAAAAGAGGAATAGCGATCGTAGAGATACCGAGGAACAGATCGGTCATCGCGTGCAATTGTCCTTATGCGCGTTTTATCGAGTCAACTCAACCTCGCCTTTACCGCGAGACGTATAAGAAAGATACGGCCGGTTGAAAAACAGTGCACGCTGCTATGTCGCGTGAAAACGTTGCTGAGCCTGGGCAAGACCAGTCGCGTTTACTCGTCCAACATATCAAGCAGAAACGAAGATCGCGCTTTTATTTTACGGCGCGAATGTGCTGCTTTCGCTGTGGACGACGTTATATCCCGGCCGCATAAAAATCTTTTATGGACTCGTCGCAATTCTGCCGGGACAGATGTTCAATCGGTGACGTGATACGCCTCGAACGAAGAGTAGGAGAAAAGAAAGAAAAGAAAAAAAAAGAAAAAAAAAAAAGAAAAAGAAAAGGAAAGGAGGAATTGTGTGCGATCTTCAGAGGAATTTCTCTCCAGTTTTGCACGAATGCGAATTGTCTTCGAGCTCGTTCGAGTGAATAACGCGAGTTTAATCAACAAGCTACGGAACTACGCGAGCGGCCGATGAAGCGAATTAGACGGGTTCTATCGCGATATGGAGCACACGTGCGTGTATTGGTACACTCCAGAGGAGAAACTCTTGGTATTAATCTTATTGGATTGCGACAGACGGATTCGCGAGATCCTCGCTGGCAATTGACATAGTTCCCATTCGTTGCCAGATCCCCTCTTTCTCTAATTATCGATCGAACCTAACCACCACCACCAGTTGGATTATGAATAATGATCTCGTTTAGATTAGTTTCCTTTTGTCCCCGAGACGTCAATTGACGATGAATTACTCGCGTTCGAGAGCATATCGGACGTAAAAGTCGCATCGATGAATACATGTTTAGATTAGAAGGCAACTTGACAATACATGTCACTTAATAATATCTACCGTTCATTAACAATACGGTTATCGGATTGATATCACAGATGATAACAGATGATCTATCTGAGATCTAAATTACTCCTGTCGATCTAGTGCACCTGCATTTTTCCTAAATGTTTTTGCACTTTGTTACAATTTATAAAGAAAGAAAGGTGGTAATCACGCACTCGCATAAAAAATTCCTTACTAATTAACACGAAAACCAGTTTGGAAAGACACATCGTCGATTATTTCCTGTTCTGGGAGAAAAAAAACAAAAAAATACCGTGAGACTATCGATGGAAGGTAAACGGAAAGACCCGGTTTTCATTGGACACGTAAACCTATCGATAGAATTCAATAAAACACGCGCTGTGTCGAGCTGAATAGGTATGCCAATACACAGCTCTCATTTCCAATCCAGAATATCGGAGCTCTGCATAACGCAATTGCTTTCGAACTCCGGTCTGCTTGTTCCCACCTGTTTCATTGTCGCTGATTTCATTTAACGCGAAATAATGTTATAGCCCTCCCCTTGTATAACGTATCGCTCGTTCTTGGCCATTCTTCTTCGGCCCCTGCTCGTTCAGAGGGATGACGACGGTTTTTCCCAAACTTCATAGCGCGCACAATAGATAGTCTAGCGTTATTGTGTATTTATACTGGTTGTGTGATGAAATGCGAGCACGTATCTATGGGCGAAGAACGAAAGGAGTATAAAAGAAAATTCTACCAGACACGTTTTTCTTTACTTTCTTTACTTTCATCGATGGAATAATGAAAAAAAAAAAAAAAAAAAAATGATTCGCAGATCGTGTCTGCAAGTATCCAAACGACGTGACACGAAACGTTGATTGATTATAAATATTTAGACTTCATAACAAGGTCGTAGATAGAACGTACGAGAGAGAATAAATATATTGGAATGAATTCTTCAATATTCTGCGTTTGTGTTTTACGAGCATACCCTATATACCGGTTGTTAGTTCGAGGTCACTGACTTCAATATTATTTCATCGCGTATAGTTTGCATTCAAAGGAATATATATTCTAGAATATATTTCTTGATTGTATAAAGAAGAATTTGTGGATAGCCAACGATACATTTATGTAGGTGTGTATTAAGAATTAAGAAATAAAGAATAATCACAAAACAAAGACGTTCATCGAATATAAAAGTTGAAAGAAATATTTAAAAAATGAAATAATTTGGTAATAATTGCGAAAATTTCATTAAAGAAATATTAAAAAGAAAATTTCAAACTTAAAAGAAGAAATCATACTATCTTGCCATATATGCCATTTGCCTGCAACAGCAATAAATGATATTTTCTTATGTAAATGACAACAGTTACGTAAAGTGTAATATATTTGTGACGTTAAACCAAGATTTGTAATATTACATAATAAACAATTAACATAAAAAATATATTACGCAATGTAAATATAACAATAAGATGACCATTTAGAATGAGTTCATTTCACTATTCCTTTCATTATTCCTTTCACGAAAAAAATATCTAGTTATTGACGCGGCAATGAATAGTGTTCTACAATGCAGTAACAAGTTAAATAGCTGATAATTTTGCTGAGTAATAACGAGCAAGGACAAATGTGCCAGTAACAGACGTAGTTTAAAATTCCCTCGTTTAAAGGAAAGCAGTTGAAAACTTTTCCACGAGGCGGCAGCACGTACATGCCATGCTTTGAGGCTACGTCATCCTTCTTTGACAGAATATCATGTTACTATAAATAATTATAGACATATAACGTGTTGTTACAACGTTTATACATCATAATATCGCTAATATAAAGGATTGGAATATCGTATATCACGAGCAAATCACATTCACGATCGTACTTTAACCTCTACGACTACCAACGTTACCTCGCACATCCATTGAACTTCCACTTTTGCACCGTGTATTCAGCTCGAATGCAACAGTTATGGAGCGATATATTCGTCAGCAACGCGTGCACAATGAAATCCACAAAGTTAGAAACAGAATTTTCAACAATGATTTACGGCCGTCTCCCTACAAATTTTACACTATTTACTTATGTGTAACGCTTTTCTGCTCAATCGAGATTAAACTGAAGCAATGAGAAACGCCAACGCGGATCCCATCAAGTGGAAAACATAATTAAACAATTGACAAAACGTCAAAGAAAAAAAGCACAAGGTACGACGGAGAGCGGTTACAGCTGGCGTACGAATTTCAGAATATGTTTCAACGATTACTAAAGGCATTTTACATCGTTGTCCCTGTTCCTCGTACTTTTCTTCGTACACTATCGCACACGGTTCGAAAAATAATAGCAACACTTACCCACATACGACCTGCTGTAATTGCCACTCTGTTTACTCTGCTCAACGTCCGCCATATTGGGATAGGAATGACGCCACTTCCGTAACTGCGTGCAACTGTTTCACTACGTAGGTTAAAACGAACTTCGTAGCTAACTTTTACTTGTTCGTGACAATGACGCGATATGCTTGATAGCGGGACGTTTATTGAATGTAAATGCAGAGAATAATATTAAACGAAAGTGAATCGTTCCCCGTGGGAAACAACGGTAACCTTTTCGCACGAGTACTTTTACTTTCATTCTGCTGAACAATGAGTGTACGTTTCAAACTTTCAAGCAGATAATCACTGAGATTACATACCTACAGTAAATTTCCTTTTAAGGCTATTTTTTTATATTGGAAACAGTATATATATATATATATATATATATATATATATATATATATATTTTGTTACATTGCAAAATTGACAGCTTTTATTTTCTTACAGGTGAAATTTCGCATTTCTATTTCAACTTTCACTAAATACAGCTGGTCTTTCAATGTTCGAACACTTGAGCTAGATTTGAAACATTCTTATTAACGATCGCACAGCGTCAAGTTCTCTGAATACGAAGATATTTTGAAACAAATTCCACTTTAACAGTGCTTCACGTAGAATCACGTATTTACGCGTAATTTCAGTATAAAATAAAATCAGTGTTTAACATACCTTTTATTAATTTGAAGAACCTCTTGTGACAGATTATTTGGACACAAAAACAGCAACAACCTTGAGGTTTGTAATAGAGGACCGCGACATGAAGTGCGAAAAGGAGGAAAAAAAAAAGAAAATAAAAATAAACGTCGAGAACGAATGCTAGATTTGGTGTTTACTAGTTTGGGAGCGCGCAGCCGTCCTTTTAGCTATTTGATTCGCGGTTTCGGCGAAGCGCGGCACTACTTTCGCCGGCGGATGTGATTTGATCCCGGCGGTTGCGCGGTCGCAGATTCCCTATGGTGGAATGTGGATGCTGTGCGCGGTGTTTGTTTCGTACGCGAATTCGGATACGTTTTGCCGGTGATCGAGCGTCTGGACCCGCCGACCGTGTCACCCTTGCAAGCTGACAGCCGTTCCGCGTGACTATGCAGCCTGACAGAACGTACGTGCACATTGACAATTACGCGCGAACCAGCGTACAGTGGTCGAGCACGGGCTAGTAAACAAATGACAGAACGATGGACGAGAGAGAGTGAGAGAGAGAGAGAGAGAGAGAGAGAGAGAGAAAGAGAGAGAGAGAGAGAGAGAGTGACAGACCGAGTGAGAGGGAGGGAAACGAAACACTAGTGTAGCATTCCAGCGCGAAACAGTGGCGCAACATTGTGCCTTTCGATTCGCGTTGTTCGATTTCCTTGGTCATTGAGGGAAAACGCCAACCCATGCGCTTTTCAGCTGGTTGACCCGCGTGGAACGTGCCGTGACGTCAAGTGTCACCAGCCTGTGTTTCCCAAGTGCCAAGTACATGAATCTCCAGCCTGTCAACTTCGCTTTCCTTCTTTTTTTGACAACATCCACCTGTATCCGTCGCCCCGTCTCCGAGGCGTTCGCGCCCTCGTGCACGCAACAAGATCGACGATCGCGAATTGTGAGTGAATTTGCGAAGCCGTTTCCGCGTAAGAACTTTGAAAACGGAGTGAAACTTTTATGCTGAGGCCCTTTAAACCCGTGGTCGACAGTGTACGTTTACACGCGCGCGCACATACACAAATACAGTTCTCGTGTACCGGCGATCGGGCGAGCGAGGCATTTAAACCTTGACAAGCCGCGATTTCTTTTTCGCGTCGTTTCAGTCTCGTTCGAACGCCCTTCGCGCGTTATTCGGTGCGTTTAGCGTATCCTGGCCTTGTTTTTACTCTCGACGACGGCAGCGTGTAGTCACGTTTACGTCGCCCTTAGCCACAAGGGCTTGTGATCACCGTGTTCGACCGCGAGTCACAGTGAGACGTGTCCCGATCGGTCTTTTTTCTCCCGCGCTTTTCACGTGTGTGACCTCCCCGTTCCTCTGCCGGCTTTGTCTTCGCGGTTTGAGGTTAGAAAATTATGTAACGTTAAACGATCGTCGAACCTGCCTGAACCGGCTCGGAATGTGGGATCTGTTTGCAGTTTCCGGCGAGACGTACTTCATTTGGTGAGTAATGCTATTTTATCACTGTCGTAGACTCGAATCTTCGCTCACTTTCTTTATTCGCGTCGTGCAAATGGAAAGTAAACGATTTTCATCATTTGGAGTACACAATGTGATTAATATATGTAGATTATTTTGGAGCAAAATGATACAAGATAGTAAATGTTTATTAAATCATTAACCCAATTTCTTGCAATGCTTTACATTCTACGCTACATTCCGTATTTCAACGATATATCTATAATTAATTAACTGTGAAAATCGAGCGATTCTTTAAATTAAAGTATTAACTGTTTACAAATCTTTCGAAGCGAAGGTATTTGAATATCACGTGTTGCGTTTTTACGAGTTTGTTTCATGAAAGCATAGCCGTTATGCATAAAATTTTGTCATGAACGCGTAGGATTCTGATACTTTCGTGCTTGGGCAACCATGAAATTCGAGGCGATTTAATTTTCGCGGTACGTGTAGCTGTGTCACGTCTCGAAGTAATAAAGGTCGTTTCGTAATTGTCGATGTGATTAATTGAATTCTTTTGAAACACACAATGCTGTAACCAAGCAAACACTCGAAAAAAACAAGTATACAGATATATTTCGTAATGTCGTTGCGAAAATAGAGTTGGCTTTAAACTCTTCCACTTTATCTTTATTGTCTTTGCTTTCGAATAACTGGTACTTATCGTACAATCACACAGCATTATCATATTGATTCGCTTTTGATGACACTCCATTCTTTTCCTCGATATTCTATATAAATTACGCGATAAGGGTGGTCGGAAAATAGAGTTTTCAATAGGTAAGACGTCTTCGAAAATTTGATCAGTCTACGTGCTCCTTTAAATTTAGATTGAATCACTTTACTTCGGAGTACTTTATTTTAATTTGTACTTTAAGATATGAAGCAGATCAAGTAAGCTCATTCAAATTCGATTTAGGCAGATACTCACACAGAATTTTTCACTTATCAATTATCGTTAGAAGATAGAATATAAGATGTTAAATAAACGTGTCGAGTAGATGTTGTCAACTACTTGTAGTCGATGATCAGATATTTCTGAAATTGACAAAGCTCTGAAAAGGATGTGAAACGCTTTTAGCAAACTACTGACACGACCTCCCGATAATTCGAAGCGGTAACTCGCAGCGCACGCGGGAAGGGAAATTAATTGTAAAAAGTTCGGTTCGATCGAATTGCACGGTGGTGAGGATCGACGCACTCGAAATCACCGGCTTGTAATTATCCCGGCGCTTAATTACGCTGGTGTGTTTTTCGGGACGAACCGGGTGGGCGGTTGTCTTTTTAGCCGGCAAACTCGGAAAAGGAATTCTCACGGTGTGTCTCGTTTTTCAACGGGCCCGGCCCTTTCACTTACAGACTCATCAATCTCCCGCTAGTTTTTCCGACGTGTCGGTGTTACCTATGGGAGCTCGTATGCACTCGCGAACCCTCATCACCGGCCGTTTCTCTTTCCCTTTCTTCCTCAAGCTTTCCGGTTCTGTTGCGCAACTTTTCATTATCATATCTCGTGCACGCAGTATCGGAGGGACTCGCGGAGAGAGTTAACGTGCGTCTGACTTTTTGTCAGGCTCCAGCCTCGTTCGAGAATCGTGTTTTTTCTTTGAAACAAGTGGTCGGTATCAATGGACGGTTGTCTGGAAAATGCAAGTGGAAAGTTAGTTCGATCGCTTTTTCGCTATATATAGTTTAACAAAGAACGTTTCTTCATCCTTGTTAGGTAAAAGTTTCGCATTATATTGGTAATTCGTAACATTTCAAACATCGAATATCGTTACCACCTAATTAACGTGATTAGCGAAATTGTATTAATCAGAAGTTACTGGTTATTAATAGTATATAAATAGCATAAATATTCCTTGGGTCGAAACAAATTTATTGGTAAGATATACGAGATTATGAAGGATAATTTTCCGGCATACAATATGCATTGCTATTATTTATTATCATCTACTTGGTAAATTGTAGTGTAAGAAGACTTTGACCTAGTTACTGCAATGTGATTTCATTTCCTTTTAAAATTAGTTTTGCTATCGTGAGCATTGTGGTTGCCTAGTTCCTGTAAATCGTAATTGTATTTGAATTATAATACAATATACATATAATACATAAGATAGAATGTTGTTGTATTCGCGCACGGCCGTGTTGTTTTATTTCCAAAGATTCTTTTTATCAACATGTAATTATACTGTAATTGGTTGGAAACTTTTTCACAGCCAATTATATCATTAAAAAAAAATTACACGCTGACGATAAGGTATCAGTTTAATAATGTGTTACTCCGAAGATATCTCTATAGTAACGCGTTGAATAAGAGAAATTTTTAGTTCCATTACTTTAAATGAGTTCACAAAGTGTGTAATTTTAATGAAATTATGTAGGTCGGTTATATAAATAAAGATAGTTTTACATTCAATAATGTGTAATTACATCTGACCATTAACAATTATTAATCGATGGTTAATTATCATATCTTACACGCGTTTTATTAAAAAATGGAGGTTTCCGCGGTTTCATGCGATTAATCTGCTTTAACGACGTCTGATTACCTTCGAACACGTTGAACGTTACATAACGTAATATCTTTTGTAGTATCAGGTATACTTGAACTCTTAACTCGCGTTTAATCGTAAAGTCTAACATAATTATTCTGTCTTCAACGCTGATTGAGAATATTCTTCATACTTTGTATGTTTGACTATTGTAATATTTAGCAAATGAAAAGAATTATTTGAGTGCCATTTCTTTGATTAGTAACACATTATTACATATTTATAAATGAATCGATTGATTTTACGTGCTCGGAGAAACAATGAAATACGCAAAAGCAGCACAAGGTATAAATTTAACAATATAGAAATACTTAACGACATAGAAGTAAAAGCGCTTTCGGAACGACGAATTAACTATCAGGTCGATAATTTCCGCTCGATATCTCGTTAATTAACGTAACATCGGACCACGGGCGAGGAAACTTTTTGCAAAATGTTCGTTTGATTCCGCGTCGAATCGCAGTTTCTATAAGCGATTTCAACGTAGTGGTCTCTTGGTCACGGTGTGGCAACTATATTGAATAGGCAAACGCAAAGCCGGACCGGTACGAGCCCGATTGTACGTAGTACCTAGGAGAGTTTATATTTGCACGAATGTAAATGCAAACGCGAACATTCCGTAATTTCTGGCCAGTTATCGTCTCCTCCGTTTCGAATTTAATTGCATCGTCAGCTACGTTACAAAGCGTATTCCTATCGCTGTCGCGTGATTTCGTTATCACCGCGCGAACGAATCGTTGAACGGAGAGGTGTACTTTTTTAAGTACGGAAGAATATAGAAAGTATCACCAAGCAGATGATTCAACTAACACAGTTTCACTGTGAACGTATTAACGGGTTCAAGGAACCGTGTTCCATTATGCTTATTCATACAATCGCCTCGATACATTAACCCTTTGCGGTTCGTCTACCTCACGCGAATTGTTAGTATGTTCATTTATTTCCGGGATAATTTGCAGTGATAGTCAAATATATTTATTATAATTATTATATTATATATAACATATAATATATAATTTCCTTCGAACAAATCAATCATTTCTTTTCCTAGAAACGACGATACTGGTTACAAGAAAAAAAAAAAATTGTCAAAAATTTTTGGTCAGTTTCACAACCTTGGTAATTGGCGCAGAGTCGCGAATCAATTAAAAAAATGTTACACGATCCGGAGTCCATATCGAAATCCCGCATCATCAACTTGTTTCTTCCATTATACTCGTGCAAATTTCCGTTCTTTGCACAATACGCGATCTGTTCTCAAAACGAAAATTACCGTGCAACATTCAGCGCCAGTGGAATAACCAAAGCTTCGATCGAGTAACCTCTAGAATCGTTCCAATAGAATGGCACTGTATTTTCGACCACCCACTGGCAAACTTTACGACACCGCAATAAT